TTTTTATGAACTAATGAGTTCGTCGTGAGCTCTCGAGCTCTTTTTATGAACTAACGAGTTCATCGTGAGCTCCAGGGCTATTTTTATGAACTAATGAGTTCGTCGTGAGCTCCCGAGCTCTTTTTACGAGCTAAGGAGTTCATCGTGAGCTCCCGAGCTCTTTTTATAAACTAATGAGTTTGTTGTGAGCTCCCGAGTTCTTTTTATGTTCGTCGTGAGCTCCAGGACTTTTTTTATGAACTAACGAGTTCATCGTGAACTCTAGGGCTCTTTTTATGAACTAATGAGTTCGTCGTGAACTCCCAAGCTTTTTTAATGAACTAACGAGTTCGTCGTGACCTCCCGAGCTATTTTTATGAACTAACGAATTCATTGTGAGCTCTAAGGCTCTTTTTATGAACTAATGAGTTCGTCGTGAGCTCCCGAGCTATTTTTATGAACTAACGAGTTCGTCGTGAGCTCCCGAGCTCTTTTTATGAACTAACGAGTTCATCGTGAGCTTCAAGACTATTTTTAAGAGTGAATGAACCACATACTTGCTGCTTTATTAATAATCATATTACAGGATAAACTTACTGAAAAAATTTCTTAAAATGTTCTGCATTCCAGGAGTGGGGTAAAATTTTTGCCGGGTCTACTTTCATCCGAGGTGGCCACCTCAAGAATTTTTTGTTTTGTACCTTATACAAGATTTGCGATATTGTTGCGGTGAGTGGAGGGACCTGCCGAGGTGTTTACCTCGGCTACAACTCTGGATGAGGTGGTCCCAAACGATCTTTAACGTCTCCCCTTCTTTTGGGGGATCGATCTTTGTCTCTCCTTGGGGACCTATCTCGTCCTCTTTCTCTTCTGGGACTTCGGTCCCTCTTTTTCTCTTCTTTCCCTTTGTCTTTTTGCATGGATGAGCTCCCCACTTTTGAGAGGAGAGCTTCTTCACCATTTATGTACTTTTTTGCCTTGGCCAGTACTTTGGTCATGCTGACCTAGGGATTTTTTGAAATAGAGAACATCAAGTCTTTAGATTGTACGCCTAAACCAGCTATGAATGCAGTAATGACAAATTTCTCGTCTAGGACATCCACTTTTAGTGATTTAGAGTTGAACCTCTGAACATAGGATCTGAGGTTCTCTTGGGGTCCCTGCTTCACATTCAACAGGTGGTAACTCGGCTTTATGTACGTTTGAGCTCCTATGAAGTGAGATACAAAGGATATGGATAGCTCCTTAAAAGAGAAAATTGAGGTAGGGGGGAGCCCATTGAACCACGCCAGGGTTGAGCCTTTCAGCGTGATGGCAAAGGCTCTGCAGCACACTGGATTTTGGTATCCATGTAACTCCATCTGGTTCTTGTAAGTGTTGAGGTGATCTACGGGATCCTTTGTTCCATCAAAAGCCTCTATCTGCAGTACTCTGAATTTCAGAAGGAGGGAAAAATGCAGCACGCCAGTGGTGAACAGAGATTCAGTCTGTTGTATCAAGGCATCCATCATAACTAGAGCCTTGGCTCTCACGACTTCCTTCATGTGGCTAAGTTCTTGTTGGATACCTTGGAAGTGATGTTCCCAGTACCGTTCTCTCCTTTCCTGTTGAT